ATTCGCGCCGGTTCCTGGATCCATAACCGGCGTTTAAATAGCGTGGCGGCGGCGGCGGCGGCGGAGCGCGTTACCACACGGGGCGCGCAGGGGCCGGGCTTGTATTTCCAACGGGTGGGGGGCGGGGTGGGGCCCGGTGGGGGCTGGGCTGGGGGAGCGCTCATTAACATTCTTACATCAGGGCTCCTCCCCGCACCCCTTCCTTTCCCACCCCTCCGCCGTCCGTAACCCCGGCTCCCCGCTAGCCCCGGGCCTTCCCTTAAAGCCGAGGTCGCCCACGTCTGCAGGCGTGCGCCCGCGGGAGCCCCCACCGCACCAAACCGCCTCCGGGGCCCCCGCCTCTCCCCCGGCAGCACGGGCGCGCTCTCTCCAGCATCCCGCCTTAAAAATGAAAATGCTTTCGAAAGTACAGGAATGCGCGCAGGCACACGCACGCACGGACACCACGTGCAAAAATAAACAGGATCAGAGAAAGGAGTGGTCCTTCAAACATGGTAGTTTCGGTGCAAACACCCGTAGGTCCGGCTCGCTCTCGCCTCTTCCTCACTCCGGCCACCTTCCCTCCTGACACCCTCCCTTCCCTGCCCCAGGCACGAGGTAAGGGAGCAGGGACCTGGGACCCTGAGCAGGCGGCCGGATCGCGGACCTGGAGCGCCCCGCTAGGCTCAGCGTTCAGCGCACCCCTCCTCCCCGAGCCCAGGCCCGGCCCCCGCCCCCGGGCAGCGCCGGTGCCGACAGAGGTGTCCGGCAGAGGTGCCCGCTAAGCCTCCGCGTTGCGGGGATGCCCGGCCCCGCGCACAGACCCTCGGTCTCGGTGCTGCGAGCAGGAAAGCGAAACTTGTTGCTCCCAACGGCGAGCGGAGGGTTGGGCTTCTTGAGGCGGCGAAGAGCCTGAGACGCATCCTCAAGGCATCCTCCGAGCTGGGTTCCCTAAGTCAGGTAACCAAATAACGAGACCTTCTCCCGAACCGTTACCCTGGGGTCCCCGGAGTGCAGGCGCCCCGCTCTGCTCCGACCCGAACGCTGGGCAGGCAGTCCAACTGCCTCTCCTCCGGAGCGCGCCAGGCTCGGTGCTCTGGGTCCTGCAACTCCGAGAAAGCTCCTGCCTCGGACCCGGACCCGGTCCTGCCACTGGTCGCAGCCGCAACCGCAGTGGGGACGGGGCTGGAAGCGGCCGCGGAGCCGTCCGTGGCCCGCGGAGTCCGCCGCGCTGCGGGGCAGCTCCGAATGGAACCTGACCCCCTTCCCGTGGTAACACGCTGAGGTCATTTGCAACGCGAACGTGCGGCCTTGGGGACACTGAAGTCCCGCAAATTAAAATAAATTGAAAATGTTTTAAAAATGGCCTTTCATGTGACGCCTGGGTGTCGTTCTCCACAAACATGCATCGGCCTGAGGCGCACGCCCCCTTTCGGCAGGAACTGGGAGCCACGAGTGCCTCCCGTGGCCCGATCCCAGGCGTCCGAGTTCGTGTGTGTGTGTGTGTGTGTGTGTGTGTGTGTGTGTGTGTGTGTTTGTGTTCGTTAGTTTAGACACCGAGGCCCCAAAGAGCCATCGCTACAAATCGGGGTTCCAGAGACGGGCATCTCCAGGCGTCAGCGCTCGCCCCCGTTCGTAGCATCCTCCGTGCAGGTCTTTCTGGAACCGAAAATGTAATTATGGGTGACTTTTCATCCTCCGGGTCATGCACCTTTCAGACTATGCACCATGACCCCTGAGGTAGGGGCTTCCAACCCCTGTGAGAACTTCCATTCATTTCATTGGCGCTGCTAACCAGTAGCAAAAGAGGCATCTATCGGCACAAAATTTAAACCCACAAGCGAGGTAAGACCCACACGACGGACATGGAAATTTAGAGCTTCGCAGCAATTAAATCCTCCCTGAACTCCTAGGAGAGAGGGAGGGAGGCAGGCAGGCAGGAGAGAGGGAGAGGAGGAAGGAAACAGAGAAAGAAAGAAGGAAGGGAGGGAGAACAATGGCTAAAGCCAAGGGTTTTTATGGATTTCCAAATTGGTGGCCAGGACGCGCCTGGAACCAGGGTGTCCCGTTACTGCCGGCTGTGCTCTGTGTCTGGGGAGCGCCGGCCAGTGGCGACAGGGTTCTGCGCACCGTGGAGCCTGGGAGTTCAGTGCCACCGGGCAGCGGCGCGCATGCCTCTCCCCCCCGCAGGCGCTGCCCGCCGCCCAGGGTCACGCGCAGGGCAGGGAGTTAACCTGTGGGTGAGTGTGGGCCCCCCGGTGGCCTCCAGATCAGCGCTCTCAGCTTCCAGCTTGTCACTCAAGAGCACCAGGCCGGGAAGGGAAGAGCCCCCACCTGGACGGCAGAACCAGAAAAGCCAGTGCCGCTGCTCTCACTGCCGCTCAAAGCACCCTTACGTTTCCCCAGAGAGCAGAAATGATGATTTCCACCACCCCCCCAAAAAAAGAGGGGGGGTTTCAAATGAAAATAGGCTATAGGAATACCCACCAAGTGATACAAGCATACAGATTTGAATTTAATGGGTTTGTTTACTTTCCATCAAATTAGATTTTTCCCAAGCAGCTGAAAATCTGTGTCAATATTATGAGTGTCGTGGAGTTCTCCAGTCTTAAGGCTGGAAGTCACCCAGCACTCACTAGATGTAGAATTGGGGCCTAAAGGATATGCACGGCATATTTAATAACTTCACCCCCTGGGAACATGTCCGTGTGGAATTGGGTTAGAAATAAAGCGTGTCCCACCTTATGCACCAGGTGAGAGAGGGAACAAAGCTAACTTTCACTTTAACTGGTAACACCCTTTATTCCAAAAATTCACTTTGAGTGAAGTTTTGAGAATATACAACACAGTAAGATTACTAACATTTTATAATAGACTTTTTGCAACATTTATAAACGTGAAGATGAATCACACCCAGAAAGAAGGAAAAAAACATTTAAATAACTTGTCAATTTTTAAATATTGTTTCTTTCCAATCTGTAAAATACTGAAATGGGGAGGGGGGAAGACCACCTTTTTAACTCTCAAAGAATTGCTAACCTGTTCACTGAATGCATTCTTTCGGGCTCCAATTGTTGAATAAAAACAAAAGAAAGTCACAGGGGAACACAGCAAAATAAAATTAGCGCCCCCCCCCCCCAAAAAAACAACCTGGGGAAATATTTGTAACCCACAGTACTGAAAGGGGCTAATTTTATTTACAGATATAGAAATTATTTTTAAAGTTTGATGAAATTTAGTTCGTGGAACGTGTGAGTAAACACATTACTACTTCTTAAAAAAAGAAAAGAAAACCTTCAAAACAATGTTAGCCCTAAACAAGATGTGACAGACACTACTACTTTTTTATCGGCTTTAGAAATGTTTTCATCAATATCTACAAACCATGTTTTTAAACTTTAAGTTGCTAAAATACGGTGGCAAATTTTCTATGAAATATTCGACTACTTGTTTTTCAGGTCTGTGAAATAACACCGCTGCCTACATTCATCCTCTACTAGCCGGCAGGACAGCGTTACATGGGAAACCTTAGCATGTGGTTCTTTGTTAGAAATGCCATCAGAGCGTTTTCTCCACCAACGGTCGTCCGTCTGACCCTCTCCCCCAAATCCTGGTGGCACCCTCTGAAGTCGGAAGGAGCCCTTCCAGGTGGTCAAAGAGCCTCCTCTTCCTGTCAAGCACTCCCTGAGGTCACTCTGGAGACTGTCCCCAAGACCGTAGCCCACAAAGAAAATACCTTCCGAGGACGGAATTGTTGAAAACACACTTCCCCCTAGAGGCAGAAAAGATGAAACAATATTGCACAGAATTCGGGAATATGTTTGTCATGAAACGAGGGCTGAGATCTTATTTGTAACATGCAGTTGGTGTTTCTGAGAAACCACTCAAGATGTGGGAGGAAAATCAATGAAGAAATTAAAACTTTGCCTCTAGGTCTTAGCTTTCCTTAGCAGGGACTCTGTTAATTGGCCCCATCCTTTTGTTTTGTTTTGTTTTAATACAAATCTAAGATTTTTTTTGCCAGCACTAAAAATAATAGTGATCATGTGTTTTTTCTAGTTAAATTTATGATTCAATTTCATCAGAAACGGCAGTCAAATGTGACCTTGAGGGGCGCTTTTGAAAACACGGCCCCAGCAGATTGATCGCCTGATGGGTCACATTTGTTTTTGTATTCCTGCCCTATTTTTTTTAAATATATTTTATTGATTTTTTACAGAGAAGAAGGGAGAGGGATAGAGAGTTAGAAACATCGATGAGAAACATCGATCAGCTGCCTCTTGCAAACTCCCAACTGGGGATGTGCCCGCAACCAAGGTACATGCCCTTGGCCGAAATCAAACCCGGGACCCTTGAGTCCGCAGGCCGATGCTCTATCCACTGAGCCAAACCGGTTAGGGCTACTCCTGCCCTCTTAAGTTTCCATCAACCAGTCTGATTGTCATTTCTTTGGAGATGTGCTGAGACAAAATGACATTAGAAAGACTTCCGGAAAAAAGAGAGCCGGTCCGTGGTTTAACCTGAGTATCACCATGAGTTTTCGAGGATTTGCAAGCCACATGAAGAATTCCCATATCACTGACTTATGGACACATTATTTAATATAGATTATTCCATTCACAAAAACAGTGGGTGGGCCTCAACTTCACGCACACCAATACTGACTATACTTCATTGGTTTATTTAGTTGTACCCTGCGTTAGTCCAGAAAGGATTTGAGAAGACGCATAAGAAGTGAGATTTTAGCCGTAACCGGTTTGGCTCAGTGGATAGAGCGTCAGCCTGCGGACTGAAAGGTCCCAGGTTCGATTCCGGTCAAGGGCATGTACCTTGGTTGCGGGCACATCCCCAGTAGGAGGTGTGCAGGAGGCAGCTGATCAATGTTTCTCACTCTCTATCCCTCTCCCTTCCTCTCTGTAAAAAAATCAATAAAATATATTTTAAAAAAAAAAAGAAGTGAAATTTTAGAAAAGTTTCCTCAGGCCAAAATGCACAGCCATCGGGTCCGACTCTCTTGGGCCCGACGCTGTGCCTCCAGCCTTTACACGACTCCAAAGCCTCAGCAGCACCTTCCACCCAGCCGAGTTCCAGGGTTCCCGGTCACAGCCAGTTTTCTTTCCATTTGCTGGGAGGGGTGTCTGGTGGACCAGGCTTCGGGGCAGGATTCCATGGAGACAGGAGGCGTTTAGAAGCCTCACAAACACGTCCTGAGGTGGTCACCGAGGATCTTTGACCTGCGGTTTCCTCGCTGTTCTTCAATCTTCTCACTTCTAACATGGAGACCATGTCATCGGCCTGGTGTTGCAGAAGGAAGGATCAGAAAGGATGGATGCCAAGTCCTTCGAATTCAGTGGGAAATGAATAAATGGCAGTTCTTACAGGCCCTTGCATGCCTGGTAAAGAGAACTACACCAAGTAAGTGTTCACTAAATGCTATGAAATAAAGGAATGACTTCCAAACCCAAAATGAGGTGGCTATGGGTAACTTGTTTGGAAGTAGCTATTGTCCAATCACAATAGACCTTATTTAATAATGTTGGTTTGGTGAAGGTGGCTCCCCTGGGGGAACCACTTGGCAATTACCTTGAGATTAGCCCTGGGTTCCCACACTCAGATGTTTCCTGGTAAGCTTGAGACAAGAGCGGGTTCAATATCCTTTCCTCTCTCTACATAGTTCACAAAGACAGCAGGAGCTCAGCTCCCTTAAGGAGACAGAGGTACATCTGAGTGATTACGGAAAAACAAACAAACAAACAAAAAAAAGGAAAAAATAGAAGTGGCTGTACAAAGGGTCAGGACTTTGAGGATGAGGGGAGGACTAAGCAGAATATATGGAAGCAAAAGAGGATTGCGCTGGAAGGGATGTATTTAATTTCTAGATCAAGTGTATTATTAATAGTGATAAAAGAGTAAAATGTATCCTAATGTACTAAGTACACAGGCTACAAAGATGTCAGGCCCGGGGTTTAATGTCCTTGTTTAACTCAGCCTTTCAAACATCCACAGTGTGTCAAGAGCTATGGTGCTCCAGCTTAAGCCTGTTGTATCAGACATTCATTTGCCTGGGGATGTGATTTGACCCAAGTTATATTTAACTCTTTGTGATCGTCAATCGTGTTATGACAGCCAAATGGGCTATGTTTAAGAGACACTTGAGCAGGACAAAAATATATTCGATTTCAAAAACATCTTATAAAAATAATTTTCCTGGTGTCATTGCATCAACATATTGAACACTTTGTGCTCTAAATTAACCATCATTAATCCGTGAGAATATAAACTCCATGAGGGCTAGGATATTTTTCCTTTAATCCTGCATTCCCTCCTTCAAGAATGATATATGAAGTAGGCACTTAAAATTTAATTTCATCAATGATAAATCCAAAATAAAAAATAAGCATAATGTATAAATTCATATACATATAAACTTTTTAAATAACTTTCAGAATATTCAAATATTATGTTGGATTTCTGATTATGCAAAGAATATAAGAAGCCAAAGATCCTAAATACCAGCTTTGAGGTCTTAACACATTGCTATAACAACACCTCATCACTTAATTCTTGATTGTTTCCTTGCTAAAGAGGAAAATGCCGGATCCCCCCAAAAATAAATAAGAACATTATTTTTTGTAATGCTGTGAACAGAAATTAAAGGTGGTGAGGAAAGTTTTTGTTACCGCCATGTACAATGTGGGAAGATACAGTTTTTATTTCTTTCCAGCGAGTACATTCCACGAGGTCTTAAATCTTGGATAGCTGATGCATGAGACTAAAATAGAATAGAATGCCATGAGGAAAACATCAGGAAAATTCTTAACATTTGTCTTCTTATATTTTTGGTGATCATGTTGTTAACATTAAATTTCACTCTGACATTAGTGGAGGAAATTGTTTCATCAAGCTAACATTGTTATTTTTTTCTTTTTTTTTAATAGCTATGTGTTTATCGCCATTTTATTATTTATATATTTTGTCTTTTCTTCTTTTTAAAATATGTTGATTTTAGAGAGAGAGGAAGGGAAAGGGAGAGAAAGAGAAGCATCGATAAGAGAAACAAAAACCTCAATCTGCTGCCTACTACACGCCCCCTGACTGGGATCGAACCGGCAAGTTCTCGGTGCTTGGGTAGATGCTCAAGCCCTGAGAAACACTGGCCAGGCTCTTATTATTATTCTTAAATAAGACCCATGAACAATTCTCGTTTTTCAATTTTTTTAAATGTTTATTGAATTTACTGGGGTGGCATTGGTTAACAAAATTATATAGGTTTCAGGTGTACAATTCTATAATACATCTGTATGCTGTATTGTGTGTTTATCACCCCGAATCAAGTCTTCTTTCATCATCATTTACCCCCCCTTCTACCTTCCCCCACCCCTCTTTCCCTCTGGTAATCGCCACACTGTTGTCTGTGTCTTTGAGCGTTTTCTTCTTTGCTTAATCCCCTCATCTTTTTCACCCAGGCCCCCAACCCCCTCATGGTTATTTTCCAATTGTTGGTAACTCCTTTGGCATTAAATGTTCTTCGCTCTTCATCCGTCCTACAAAAATATTCTTTTCAGCCTTTATTTCTTTTTCCCTGTACTAACTGCCGGGGTGGCGGGGAGCAGGGGGAGGGGGAGTAACAAAGATTATTTTAACTCAAATCTGTCATTTCACAGACTCTTGGAAGTCTTGAGGTATGACATGGAAATGACTTTCTACTTGGGCAATTTCTTATATTCAAGTGTATGTAAGTGTATTAAGTATCTCAAGTTGTAAACCATTCCTGTTCTGGTGAATCGCTTTGGTGGTGTTATTTTTAACCTCAGGTACAAAATTTTTTATTTCAGCTCGTGGCACATTCAGTACCAATCTGCAAGGTTCTTGTCTTATTTTAGTGTCTTCCCTTCATTGCTCTCTTCATTCCTTTTGCTCCATATGACTCTTCTGTTTCTAATACATGTAGATGGGTCTAAATCATTGAAAAAGAGTATTTCTTGTGCATGCATGTGTTATTTCAATATAGAAATTGTATTATGCTATTTCTTATTTTCACAGAGAGTGACATGGATAGATCTTAACTATTAGGTGAAAAATCTACCTTATTACTTTGGTTTTGTTTATAGAACTGGTAATATTTTTTCAAACTTTCTTGTAGAATAATTGACAAATATAATTGTACAACTTGTGTGATACACATTATGGATATTTACCAAGACCAAGACAATTAACACATACATCTCCTCATATAGTTGTGTGTGTGTGTGTGGGGGGGGGGGGGGGAGAATGCCTAAAATCTATTCTCAGCAACTTTTCAAGGGGGCAAAACCACATTACTAACTATAGTCACCATGCTGCACTATTAACCCTCAGACTTCTTTTTTTTTAATTTATTTTATTGATTTTTCACAGAGAGGAAGGGAGAGGGATAGAGAGTTAGAAACATCGATGAGATAGAAACATCGATCAGCTGCCTCCTGCACACCCCCTACTGGGGATGTGCCCGCAACCAAGGTACATGCCCTTGACTGGAATCGAACCTGGGACCCTTCAGTCCACATACCCTGAGCCAAACCGGTCAGGGCCCTCAGAACTTCTATCCACTGAGCCAAACCGGTCAGGGCCCTCAGAACTTCTTATAAGCGCAAGTTTACACTCTTAACTTACATCTCCCTACTTCCCCTCCTCCCCCCCACCCAGTGCCTGCCAACCACCATTTTATATGGAATCGGCTACTTTTTAATCCCACATGTGATACCGTACAATATTGGCCTTTCTCTCCCTGGCTTATTTCACTTTGCACAGTGCCCTGCAGTTTCTCCCACGTTGTCCCAAATGTCAGCATTTCCTTCTTCCCGTGGCTTCATAATGTTTCCTTGTATATTCCTTATAATATTCCACTGTGTGTGTGTCCCATTTTCATTGTCCACTCGCCCAGGAGGATGTGCGGGCTGTTTCATGTCCTTGCTGTTGGGAATGATGTTGTCATGCACACGGGAGCACCGGTGTCTCTTCTGAGATAGGATTTCATTTCCTGTGGGTGTACAC